CAGCAAAATTCAGGGCTTGGGAGATCTTGGCACACCTGGGATATCTCCTGGAGTCCCCTGACTCTAAAGACATGCATGTCTATAAACTGTTCTGGGGGTGGCATTCTGTTACCACCATGCCTCCACTTGCTGGCTGTGAGTCCACTAGCCAAGACCATCAGGAAACATTATCCAAGGCAGAGACTGCACCAACTACTTCCCCTGGCACTCAGCGATAACCCACAGGCCAACTACCTTCCGAGGACCCTCCCCAGATCAGTGCCACCGAGAAGTCAGCAGTTGTTGGAAACCACCTTCATTCAAGTCCATAAAGGCTCCATGAATGGCCACTTGCCGTGTCTCCTCATTCTAGCCCTTGCCTGTGTAGCTTCCTTGCTGGGCAGAAGCACTATCTACACCACTTCCTCCTGCAGCAGCTCTACACATGTACTAAGACTGAGATTGTCTAAACTGGGGGTGCCAAGGGGACTGAGAGTATAAGTGGCCCTGACATTACATTTCCTGGTCTCAACATAACAGGATATATTATGGAGCTCACCTCTCTTACACAAAATACCCAGAAACCCTGAGCACTCGTGTGTCACCTTTCCCACCCCAGGTCATGACTTAGAACTCACTATTCATCCTCACATCTCAGGACCCTCACAATGGTTCATGGGGTCCTCTTCAGCAAACTCCCTCAGCCTGAACCTGCAGCTGATGCCAGTTACTCCACTGTGTATAGGGTGTGACTTCCTCAAGGCTCCAAGAACCCTGATGAGTCTCCTGCCCCGCCCCCAGGGTGGAAGACAACCCTCTACTGTTGAGACAGAGCTGCACTGCCCCGTCCTCTCTTCTACCCACTCCCACTTAAGGGGATCAATCCCTTGAGGGCCCCTCTCCTTGTCTGAATCCTCCCATTACTGCCCATCCCTAATATGAGGGGCCAGTTCCTCCACATGGCAATGTCCAACTGGGAAGAGGGTCGGGGAGAAGTTGTGATGAACTCTGACACACTTGCATATTTCGTTTATTTAGAAACAGTGATCATTTCTGATGACATCTTCTTTAAGAATGTTAAATAGTTTTGATTAGAAAAGACAGACTGATATACTGTGAAGTTTGGAGAATATGAGGTTGGCACCCCTCAAAAATCCTGCAATGCAGATATAACCAAGGCAAGAACAAGTACACTGCGTGTTTTCATATTTTTGTCTCTATTTACCTCTATAACCAATTTCATTCCTCTTTAAAAACCTCCTTTTAAAAAAGACTTTGGAGGCTGGAGAGATGGCTCAGAGGTTAAGAGCACTGGCTGCTCTTCCAGAGGTCCTGAGTTCAATTCCTAACACTTGGTGGTTCACAACCATCTATAATGGGATCTGGTGCCCTCTTCTGGTGAGTAGGCACACAGAATACTGCATACATAATAAATGAATAAATAAAATCTTAAATAAGCAAACAAACAAAACAAGAACAATAACAAAAAACCTTTGACCCTTAGCTGAATTTCTGGTTTCATCTTAGGGCCCAAACTTGACTAAACTAAGTATAAAAGTTGCCAGAGCCTGAGGCTGTCTGAAACCTGGCCTAGTATCAGCCTCCAGCCCTACTCTCCAATCCATTTAGCACTGCTGACTCAGGCTTGCTGGGCCCCCTCTCCTCCTCCTCGTGGGAGTGGCATGTACACTGAGGCTTTCCTTCAGCCTTTGCCCCTGCAGGTCAGAGCTGCTGATAACATCACAGAAGAGTGGCTACACCCTCACTCCACTCATTTTCACCCTGGGCCTTGAGGATGAGGAAGAGGCCTTACCTGAAGGCTAAGAAATGATCAATGAACACCTCTTTGGCATGGCTGCCATCTCTAGCCATGAGACCTTTGGCCTTGCCAACGGCTGACATATATGTGGGGTGGAAAGGGGAACAACACAGAAGCAAGTTCCCTTGGCTCCTGATTTCTCATTCTAGTGTCCAGCAAGAACAGGGGTTGGGGGGGGGGGAGAGGCTGGAGAGATGGCTCAGGAGTTAAGAGCACTGACTGTTCTTCTAGAGGTCCTGAGTTCAATTCCCAGCACCCACATGGTGGCTCACAACCATCTGTAATGGGATCTGGTGCCCTCTTCTGGCCTGCACTACATAAATGATAAATAAATAAATCTTAAAAAAAAAAAAAGAAGAACAGGGGTTGGTGCCTCTTCAGCAGTTCATGGCTCTCTGGGTACTCCTGAAAATGCCCACCTCAGGGACACACTGGGCACATTTGAAGGACTATCTCTGGATCCCAGTGTTGGCAATGAAAACTACTGCCCTACTGCTTACTGGGACATTAAAGTTCACTCCGTTGTGCCATCAGGCCACCAGAGCCATGTGTGTGTGCACACTCACATGCAGCTCTTCAGTCTCTGCCCTTTATGTTGGTGTGTGGCTCCGTTATCCTTCTGGCCTGGGCAGATTCACAACCAGTGCTGGGAGCAGGGGCGGGGAAGCGGGGGAGGCTATGGGACAAGGGACTAGCTGGTTTGATTGTGGTCCCTGAACTCAAGCGCTGTGGACAGAGCACTGCTGCCCCCACACTAGCCATGCCTCTCCTCCTCCCTTTATTCCAGACCCCTCTGCACCTTCCACCTTTGCTCTAGCAGGCAATACATCTTACAATCATCTGTGAGGACCTGGAAGGGAGGCTCTTTCTGGCACATGCTGGCCTCTGGGACCAGTCACAGGAACACCTAGAATCCATTCCCCCTTAAGGGCAGGAACATGTGGTCTGCAGTGCACAGAGGACCCCATGGGGCTGAGCATTGGGCTGCCTGAAAGTTAGGATGAAGGAGATTCACGAAGTGACAAGATGGTGGCTGAACTGTGAAAAGACAGAATGGTGCTCTTCCGTTGTGTCCAGTCTATAGGAAAGCGCAGACTGCTGGCACACCTTTTGGGGAGCAGACTCTTAAAAACAGGTAAAAGAGCTGATATGGGTGGAAGCAAACTAATACCTAGGCCACTGGCTGAGGCTAGGGTCAGCTAGCTTCTGGTTCCTCAGGTCTGCCTGGGTTTGGGTCCTGATGAGAGAGGACATCATAGCACTCCCACCTCCCCCCGCCACTGGCATCTTCTAAAGCAAGTGGTCTCCTGTTCTCCTCAGCCAAGAACACTGAACCATGATCCCCTCTGTGAGGAGCAGTTCCAGGGCTGCTAGAGGCATGGCTGTTCAAGGGCTACTGGAAGCCGGGCTGGGCATATGCACAGAGGAGACAGAAGGCCAGTGCTCAGAGGCGAGACCACTTGAGAACATCTGCTACAGACACCCAGGTGGACAGTGATCTAGATCTCACTAAATATGCTGCCTGCAGTGTTCACAGAATGTCCCTCTGCCCTCCTCTTTCCTCCTGGCACCACTGCAGCCACAGCAGTACCTTGGTGGCCAGCATGCAGGCAGCAGTGCTAACTAGGCAGGTCCTGAGTGACTGATGAGTGAAGGAGAGAATGAATGAGTGAAAGGACAAACAAAGGAGGACACACAGGGCCAGATGTGATACTATAGATCTTAGCCCCGAGCCTAAGGATGCCACTGGGTGGTGGCTAGAGGAGGAGCTGCTTGCCTATGGCCTTCTTTTGTGGGGTATCCCCAGGAACCCCCATGGGGACCAGGAGTTCTGGAGTCTGTCCCTTGGGGCCTGTGGGGTTCTCCTTTCACTGCTACGGAGGAGCACCAAGTCTCCTAGAAATCTACAGCTGGGCAGTGTCCAGACAGAGCCTGGCACACAGGGAATGCTCAGCCTGGGCCACCACTGAGCCTCTCTGCCCTGTAGAAAGTGTCCAGTTAGGATGATTTCTTCTGGACACTTTTCAGTTACAGAGACTACAGCTTTAGCTTCAGAGGCGTGTGTACATACACAGGTGCGTGTGTGTGTGTGTGTGTGTGTGTGTGTGTGTGTGTGTGTGTGTGGTATAATGTATACTGCATGCGTATGAATGTGTACACCCACATATGCATGTGTATAGGAGTGAATTATGAATGCGTCCACCTGTGTGCATGTGTGAGATTTGCGCTTAGTGTATGCGCACACAAGTATGACTGTGTAATTGTGCATAAGTAACTGAGTATGCAAACATGTGTATGGTTCCTTCTGGTTCCTCTGAGTACAAGTATGTGTACACACACATAAATGTGTGAGTGTGTATGTGTGAGAGTCTGTAACTGTGCATATGTACATGGAAGACTGTAACCATGGTCATGTCTATAAATAGACTATACAACTCTGTGCACATGCACACATAAGACTATGTAACTTTGTGCACACGTGTACTTGTGAGAGTACTCAGATGCACACAGGCTCCTAGGCATGGGGCGAGGACTTATCCTGAAAGACAATGGAAACCTGCATCTCGGGGACGTTCGTCATCACTGGGTTTCCCTGTGAGTCCTCCTCAGACCTCAAGTCACCAAGATGCCTTTCACCACCTGCAGTGACATGTCTTCTTGACCCTGATGGTGGCCCAGGAAGCATTAGGGCATGGAGTACATGCTGTGGGTGAATTCTTAATGGGAGGGTGGATACCTGGGGCAGATGGGCTGACAGGAATCACAATGATTCATGACAGTAGTTTTTAAAACTGTCCAAGGCCTGGGGCTGCACTGCTGCAATACTCTCAGATATCACCAGATGGAGCCATGTGCCCATCTCAAG